TTGAAGTACGTTTGCATTAAATAAAGTGTATTTTCATTAGCAGAAGAAGATTTTTTTTCTAAAAGAAGTCCAAGGTGAGGCATGTTGCGATCCTGTTATAGTTCTGTAATGGTTTTATTTGCTTTCTTTGACATCACTGGTATACTATACTAGTTAAGCTAGAAGGTTTATCTCTGCATTTTCCTGTTACTGTACTTGCAAAATTTTCAGATCCTGTGTGATTTGTACGGCAAGTGGAGTTTCTCGCTTGAATTCCACTTGGATGGAGTAGATGAACACAACATTAGTAAAAGGCTAGCTAAAAAAAATAATGGCATACACATAACTCACAGAATCAGTAATAGTTCCAAGCATGCTGATGCATGCTTCTGTAGCTGCTTTATTATGTTCAGTAAACAAAACGTCATATACTTGAACAAGGACATTCTTGTTTGAAACATGTGTTGGCTTTAGAAATGGGGCAGTGTAGAAGTTGTCCAGGCTCTTTACCAAATATTTCAGCTATGTAACTGAACTACTTTGTTTTTTCCAAGAGCAACCTTAAAGCTTGTGGTAAAAAAAATGCTAAAGGTTCCCCTTGACAAATGTCCAGGCATGTCCAACTCTAGGGCATGGTGCTCATCCCCGTTTCCAAGCCGTAGAGCCAGCGTTTGTCCAAAGACAGTTTCTGTGGTCACGTGGCCAGTGCGACTAGACATGAAATGCTGTTACTTTCCCATGTGGTGGTACCTGTTTATTTACTTGTATTTGCATGCTTTTAAACTGCTAGGTTGGCAGGAGCTGGGAAAAGCAATGGGCGCTCACTCCATCATGTGGATTCGATCTTATGACTGCTGGTCTTCCAACCTTGCAGCACAGAGGCTTCTGTGGTTTAACCCGCAGCGCCACCACGTCCCTAAGCTTGTGGTACGCCATCATAGTTGTACACAATACAGAAGACTGCTTGGGAATATGACAGGAGTACATTTCAAGAGGAGGCAATGATATGTGGTCGGAGATGTTGTGATATGCCACCTTTTCAATCACTGACTTTTAAAAATCCATTAGAACAGTGCTTCCCAACTTTGGGTAACCCAGATGTTCTTGGCCTGCAATTCCCAGAAGCCTTCACCATTGGTTGTGCTGGCTGGGGTTTCTGGGAGTTGCAGTCCAAGAACACCTGACTTACCCAAGGTTGGGAACCAGTGCGTTAGAATCAAAAGTCCCATTCTCCAGTTAGTAGATGGGATGTGTGACTACATTGCAGCTCACCTCACAGTGTATGTTGGAGTTTGGCATTGTTGAAATTGACATATTTACTGGTGACTATGAGATGCGAAGCTGAGTACTCTACTGAGAAACCCAGTCTTTTTCCGTGGGGAATATTTACTTTTTGTTCAGCTGGCAGGGGGTGGTTTATTTTGTACCAATTCAGCTGGTATAACTTATTTCAGTTTTCTGCCATGTATGATCACCTCTCTTGGTCCAAAAGGGTAGCTGCAGGTGTGTCCTGTATAGATGGTGATGGTGATGTTTTCAGTGGGATTCAGTATTGCAGCAGGATAATTCCCCTCAACTAAGCGCCTGTTTTCTCCCCTCCAACATAAAGTTTTTCTGTTCCGTTAAATTATGCGTATCAAATGTAGTGCTGTTATCAGATACACAAAGGACAGGAAAGTTTTCCTTTTTTTTTGTAGTTCTTAATTCGAGGCTCCATTCTTAAGTCAAAGCAACTTTTTGCGGACGGAGCCGTTCTTAACTCGAATCGTTCTTATGTAGGGATGTTCTCAAGTCGAGGTACCACTGTAAATGCTATGTCACTTCTGGGGGGGGGAAAAAGGATAAAACACAGGGCTGTGTCTTCAGTGGAAAATAGAACTGACTGGGAAGTGTGGTGTGAACTCTTGCAACAGAGTAATTGATTGTATTGGTGTGGACAACTACAGAGATTTCACCAGCAGAAACCAATAGGAGTCCAATACTGTATTAAAAACTTAAAGCAAAGTGAGTGCTCTTCCTTGTGTAGTCATGCCCTGAGTGCCATGCTGGATAGTTCAGTGGGTTACGTGGCAGAGCTAGAGGTTGGGAGTTCGATTCCCCCACTGTGCCTCCTTGACAGAGGCTGAGGCTTGATGATATACACAGGGGTCCCTTCCAGCTGTGAAGTTCTAAAATGATGATGATGAGTGTACTGGATAGAAAAATGGAAGAAACTACAAGCCAGAATTGGGCTCCTTCATCTTGATACTCAAAACTATGCAGTTTTCGGAAATGCTTGTTGAAAATGCTCCTCTTCTCCAAACTCACCAGTGGGTTTGAAAGCTGGCAACAGAAAAGCAGTAAGACACTGTTGCACCCTCTCAGATAGCCTTGGCTAAGAGTTAGGAAGAAGGAAAGCAGGATTGTTTTTTCACAAGTGTTGGCTTGACCTGGTGTATAATCTCTTTAAACTATTAATAGCTCTTTTGTTCACTGGGAGCAACAACCGGAAACAAATTGCTCTCCTTTTGGTGAAGAGATACTGTACATCTATAATTGCATTTCTAAATTCCAGGCAAGCTAATTCCTTGTGCTTCAGCCATTAGGAGGGTTTTGTTTTTGCTTTCTTGGAACCTGAAGAGAGAATGTTGCTTTCGTAACCTTTATAGCAGGAGAGGTGCCAGTAAGAACTGTTGTCCTGTTTTCTTCTCTTTACTAAAGGCTTGGGTATAATCTCTTGCCTTTCTGCTGCTTTCTAGGAATTTTTTACAAAGCTGTGAAAGAAAATGTTTGAAGACCGGGACTTCCCTCTGCCCTTCCATGTTGTTCAGTTACTTTCTCATTACGCAGCATCTCCTCTTTAGTCAAATAGCCTGGCTTCATACAAGGTAGTTGTTTATGTTCCACCAGATCAGCCAATCTAGCATTTCAGATCCTTGGATAACATAATAGGAGGGACTGCCTTCCACTATGTGAGTTTGCCCACCCACTTCTCATAAAAGGGTTGCTTGGGGTCCCACTGTAAGTAGAGATTTGGATGTTCGTGATGCGTGACACAATTTGTTTGACTGTGGCGCCAAGATTGTGGAATTCCCTTTCTCAGGAAACTTGGTTGGCACCTTCCTTTGAGATTATTCAGCACTTGGTAGAGGACACATTTTATTAGCTAAACTTTTGCATTTTCTTAAGCTTTCTTTCTTTCTTTCTTTCTTTCTTTCTTTCTTTCTTTCTTTCTTTCTTTCTTTCTTTCTTTCTTTCTTTCTTTCTTTCTTTCTTTCTTTCTTTCTTTCTTTCTTTCTTTCTGCTTCTGTTTTATGCTCTTTGTTTTGTTTGTTTCTGTTGCAGGCTGTTTTTTAAAAAATATCATTCATTTTATTTATTTATTTGTATTTTTTAATTAGATACTGTATGTATGTTGGGATACTCTTGGGAAAGGTTGAAAAGGGGAGCTAACGTGACCTTGTCAACAATAAATACAGTCAGAGGTTTTCTGTAAATCAGTTTGGCCACTTATCACCTGGATTCTTCTGAATTTTTTTCTCCTCAAAGCTGAAAAAGTAGGTAGATCATAGAGTGTAAGCTGACAAATAAATGCAGTCAATGTCCTTTTTATTAGTCAGAAAAACTAGAAAAGTACCTAGAAATGGTACCATCCCCCCCCCCATATTTTCCTATTGATGCAGTGCCATTCTAGATCAATGAGATACATTGGCTGTCTTATGTATACTATGCTAGGTAGATGCATTTCTGTTTCCCCGTGTCATTTATTTTATTTAACAAAACAGAAAGAAAAGTTGTTGTGGTCCTCTGCATAATGACCACCAGAAAAGGCAGGGGAATGAGTGGGAAGGATAGTGTCATTAATTGAAAGGGGGTTGTATTGGAGTGATCCAAAGACCTGTGTGGAAGCTTCTCACGGAAGAAAATATGTTAGTCAGTGTGAATGGAAGGATTGCTCGAGAGAGAGATAAACTAGATCACACTAAAGCTAACAGCCTTTTAAGTGCAAACTAGATTGTTCCAACTGCCCACGTCTGGATGTGCCCTGAGTGTGATGGTTAAGCAACCAGGTCAGAGGAGTTGCCTTGGCTGCCAGATGGGCAGTATATAAATCAAATAAATAAATAAAACAAATACCTGCTGCTCTTTTGCAGAGGTCTGCTTCTCTTCTCTATGAAGGCAACAAAGGATGTATCTAGAGTAGAGATGGGCACGAACTGCCAGTTGCTCTGGCTTCTCTGCCCTGCCCCTGAGTGGGTGCACAATGGAGGTGATGGGGTGCCAGATCATCAGCTGTGTGGCCATCAGACAAACTGACACAAAATGCCGCCACTTCATGGCCATCTCTGATCTAGAGAATTTGAACCAGAGCTGGGAAGGGTCCCTTTTTTGATCTAGAATCTTTCAGCCAATAATGGCTGCTGGGTGTATTTGGCTGGGGGATTTTGGGAGATGTTGCCAGAAAAATAACCTTTCAAAGCTGTGGTTGAGAAATAATGATTTCCCAAGGTCATCTTGAGAACTTCCAGGCACAATGCTCAGTTATATTATGAACAGCACATCTAATAACTCTCTGATGGTTTTGCATATTGCCTCTTGAGAATTTCAATATTCGCTGCTGTAGGTCTGAGTGGAAAGTTATTGGCATACCTTGTTGAATTAAGTAGTAGCAGTACAGTAGCATGGCACTTTGTGCCTCTTGTTTCTTGCTGGGCTGCTTTGAAGATGGAGTCGGGGGTAGAGGTTTTAGGATCATGCCACCCAGCCAGCCGCCAAGAATGCTTTCATCAACAAGGTGGATATCATTCTGAATGCCATAGAAGGCCATGTTTTCCATGCTTCTCTGTTGCCCCTGCATTAGTAGCTGAGCAGCTGAGCGCTATTGATCACCCAACTATATTTGTCCTATAGGGTTTTTTAAAAAAAACTTGAAAGGTGCTTCATAGACTTTTGAACTTGAAGAAATCTTTCAGAACAGCAGGATGCACAGGGGTCATTGTATGGTATCCTGAAGCCATCTGCCTTTTGTTTCTTATCTGCAGGCCCAAACCATGAATTACGTTGGACAGTTAGCAGGCCAAGTCTTTGTGACCGTGAAAGATTTCTATAAAGGATTAAATCCTGCCACGTTATCCGGATGCATTGATGTCATTGTTGTCCGCCAACCAGATGGAAATCTCCAGTGTTCCCCATTCCACGTGCGCTTTGGGAAAATGGGAGTTCTGCGTTCAAAGGAAAAAGTGGTAAGAAACAGAAGTCACGTTAACGTGGTTTATGTCAATCATGGTTTGTAATAAGGCTCAAGTACAGTATCTTAAATGTGAGATTGTATGTGTCTATATATCTTTTGGTTTTAAAAAAAATCAGGGTAAAGGACACCAAGTGCAAACTGTGACTGTGGCATAAGTCTTTATCTCTTTCGTCCATGCCACTTTCCCAATAAAGTCATCTGCCAGAGCTTGCCTCAAGATGAAAGCAGCCATAGGCACAAGTAGCAGTTTTTGTCTGGGCAAATAACTTTGACTGGCAAGAATTTTTAATCAACATATAGCAGAGGCGAGGCACCACTGTATCTTCCTTCCCTTTTAATACCACAGTGCCAAAGTGAATGTTGCCACTCTTCTGCATCTGCCGTTTAATTGAAAATGAAAGCACATGTACAGACGTAATCACATGTTGAAAACAATTTGTAGTTTGCCATTCAGGGCAAACTAGAAGCATGTATGAAGCAGCATGAGAGTCACGACGTCCAACAAAAGCATGCTAGGAACAAGACTGTGGATCTCTTAACAAAGATTATCTAGCAGTTTTCTGTCACGTGAATAGACTCAGGAGATGATAACTGCAGTTTGGTTGTGTGCTCATTGATCCACTGCCAGTGATAAGCCTTTTATCACGGCTTTAAATACCCCTCCCCTCCAAATCCAGTGCTCAAGGCAAGTTTATTTGTGTAGCAAGTGTATCACCTTAAAACTACAAATTTAAACACTTTTATGTTTCTTGGATTTCATAATCTTCTTTGGAATTAAGCACATATTGGTGAAGTCCTGTTCCTAAGTTGCACTAGAGTAGGCCCATTGATTCATTGGGGATTGGGTGCTACAACTCTTCCATAAGTTCTGATGATTCAAATGGGTCTGCTGTAGTTGAGACAAGTCGAGTGGGTCCTTCTGAATCAATGGAACTTATGGAAGAGTTGATCCCCATTGATTTAATGGGCCTACCCTAGTGCAACCTACTACTCTAAGCAACAGGATTTCAACCACTTAATGCCACCTCTCTTCTCTGTAAGCAGCATAACTTAAAATGATGTAATGTTAGCTTGGTAACATCTGGGATTTGGTACCTAATTAATGCTTAATTTTTGATGACTCATTCTTCTCTTCCTCAATTTTAGTTGGCATAGAACTGTACTAAGTTAAAAAAACATCTGGGAAGTCTCAGGTTAAGATGCTATCCCAGCAATGCATTTAGTAGCTGGACTTGAACAAACTTCAATTTTCTCTCTCTCCACCCATATAGTTGTGATATAAGGATAATAATAGTGATCTACTTTAGAGGGATGACTGAGATAATGGGAAGTGCTTTCACTACTTGAAAAATAGTTATATACATGTGAATAATGATCAGTATGCCAAGCCACTCATGGATGAATTTAATTTTTAGGTTATGCAATTAAATCTTCAAATGTATTTTTTTTCTCTCAAGGTTGATATAGAAATTAATGGAGAACCTGTGGATTTGCACATGAAATTAGGAGACAATGGAGAAGCATTTTTTGTAGAGGAAACAGAGGATGATCAGGTAAGAGAGAACTGCGCCTTTCTACCTCCTTTTATTTATGATAAACAACAGTGTGCAAAGGTACCTGTATCTTTTGGCATCTATAATGGAGTTGCCAAAACCACAATAGCAAGAGGATTGTTGTGCCTTCGAGACAGGGTGGACAGTTTGGTATAATTTATTTATTTGTTTATTGTTTGGACTTGTATACCACCCCACAGGGCCCGGAGCATTCTTTGGATAGTTTGCAACATCATTACACAAGGAACACTTCCTCCAGTCAGCCGGGTACTCCTTTTACTGAGGGAGAAATGGCAAAAGATAAGCAGTGGAGGGAAAACAGAACCAGCCATTTCAGGCCCTTTTTGCTGCTATTTGTTCTCCCTCCAGTGTGAAGCAAAGCCACATAGGTCAGAGAGTGCGCCTCCTCACGTCACGTATGATCCCAGCCATGCTGAGGAATCACCCCGGAAGCCGTTCTGTAGAAAGAAGGAACCGCTTGATGCCCCTGGCGGCCTCACGGGTTTCTTGTGCCATTTCTTCCTCACAAAGCTGTCTTAAACTCCCACACTTCCCCACTGAGCATGAGAAGGCGATAAGCCCTGTCCGCACACGTCAGGGGCCAAAGGGAGATGAAAGAAATCTTTGAGGAGAGGAGCAGGCCAGCCCCGTCCATGTCCACTGACACTTTTGCTTTTCCCACCTGTGGAAAACCACAGTCTTAACAAGGCGCCTCCTTTACACGTGAAGGTCCTCCAGATGATCTGTGAACTTGGATCCACGCACAATAAACCTGGATCCATGCACTGCAGAGGCTTGCCTCTTCAGGCTGTTGCTCCTTTAGTGTGCTGCTTATATACCATCCCATAGCTGTTAAACTATCCTCTGGGAGATTTACAATTGAATTATGCAGGCTACACATTGTCCCCTTCACCCTGTGAACAGAGTACTCAATTTACTGAGCTCAGAAGGATGGAAAGCCGAGTCAGCCTTGAGCTGGCTATCTGAACCCATTGGGATCCAACTCGGATTGTAAGCAGAGGTTTGGATTGATGTACTGCAGCTTAGCCACTCTGCCACGGGGCTCGCGGTCATTCGCATGCTCTGGACTACAGCCCCCAATAGGTCATGTTGGTGAGGGCTGCAGGTTGCTTACTGTTGCTTTTAGGGGACTTATTTTAATGGGAAGGTTTCTAGATATGGCTATTCATTCTGGTCTCCTATTAGTTCCCTCAATTTCTTACGTTATTCAGGACTTCAATGTACCGTGACAGGTGGGAGAAGAAGGTGCATGGCAGCCCCTATACTGTGACTCCATGGTTGTTAATCGTAGCAAGCTATGATTCTGTGATGATATTTTCTCCTTTTTAGGACATGGTCATAGCAGACAAAAACTTGCATACAATGAGGCTGATTGCTATGTAGTTAGTTGTTCCACTATTTGATGCCTGACTGTCACTGGTAGTCAGCATTTGTTGTGTTTTGCAAGCAAACCAGAGTGCTTAAATCACCAGTACTTTCCCTGACTTCCTATTATTTTTCTGTTTCCTAAATTGGTGTGTGTGTGTGTGTGCTTTGGGTGCCTGGGAGACAGCATCTGCTCAGTGGCCAAAACCCTATTTTATAATGTAAGCAAAGCTGAAAGTTTTGTTCTGTTCCTCATAGGGAAACAAAGAGCCCCCATTTTTATTTTTAGGCATATGTGCACATGCTGGCTTGAAACAAGCATGCATATTTGCCCAAGAATCTCCATGGGGGCCCTTTATTCACTTGTGCGGAACAGACCAAAACTTGCGACTTTTCTTACATTGCACGTTACACAGCCAGTGTAGGATAGGCAGAGACGGGGGAGAGATTTAGAAAGAGAAGCCTGTTATAGCCTGTCAGAGAGGCAGAAGTGGCTTTTCATAGCGCTGTATCGTGAAAGAAATGTGTATCTTGTATAGCTGAATGACAGAGGTTGCAATCTTACGTACATTTGCTTCCACGCTTGAAATTAGTTCAACTTACCTCCATGAAAACATGTTTGGGGAGGAGCTGTGCAACTTAGCGGAGGCTTGCATTCTGTAAAAGTTGAAATAGATGCCCAAGATTCCCTTCTTGTGAAGCCCCTGTTGGACACGTGGGCTGACAAACAGAAATACCATCTAATCTAGTAGACACGGAAATAAGGCCCTGGCTTCCCTTTTTTTCCTTTCTCTAGGCGGCCATTCCACACCACCTGGCTACCTCGCCCATTCTGTCAGATGGAGCAGCTTTCATGGAGTTGCAGATGAAGAGGAACTCGATAGATAGGATTAGGAGCATGGATGTGAGCAGCTCCTCCCAGCTGCCAAACTCTGCCTCTCCATCTACTAATGAATCTACCATGGGGAACTCTGTGAAGAAAAGGAGGAAGAGGAGAAGGAAATCTACCCACAAAATAGACATGTCCAAAAGAGATGAAAATACCGATACTACTGAAGATGAAAACGTGTTCTCAATAGAAATGAGTTCTGATGAAGAAAATGAGCTTCTAGACAATACCAGGTATCGACTGGTGTAAGATCTAATATTTTCAGAGGTATTAATACTCACTCAGGCAGTATCTATGAAACCATGACCTCAGAATTCTTCCTCAATAGAAAAATTATTGGAGGCATGGGGAACATGGGACCCAAATGTTGCTGGGGTGGAATTCCCATCATCCTTCACCCTTGGCCATGCTGGTGGGGGCTGATGGGAGTTTGCTGTTGCAATAGCATTTGGAAGACTACATCCTCCCTATCCCCTCCTCTGGTATTACAGCATAGTCTTATATCTCAGGTACTCTACTGGACACATGAGAGTACTTGATTGGAACAGCCATTGCTAATTTATAGGACCTATTTTGAAGGTTAAGATTATATTATAACTGGGTCCCACCCTTTACCATGCTTATATATTGTGTTTGCTCTTATCTGCAGTTTTCATTATCCACAGGGGTTTTTGGAAGCAATCCCCAGCAGATACTGGGGTTGTACTGTACTTAAAATAGACATTAAAATAATTAGAATTTAAAGAAGTCATCACTTACACTGACCAGAATCCTGTTCTTTAACTTTATGCTGCGCAACTCAGATGACACTGTCATCTGTGGCAGTTTAGGGGGGGATTAAATGTTTCCTATTCTCCCTTCTTCAGTTTCAGGGATCTCTAGGTGTCCCTATCATCCTGGGAAAACTTTGGGAGCAGGGGTAGGGACTCAGCAGTGTCAGAGAATCACCACAGCTGGTGGCAGCAATTTTCCAACATTAAGGAGCCCCCTATTGCATGGATCCCAGCATCTTCCCCCGGATGAAAAGGGCTCTGGAAGCTGGAGGGAGGGGGAAAGTAGAAGATTTAAAAATTTTCCAAAACAGTAACAGAATGATGTCATAATCTGAATCGCGCATATCCTAATGTTGTGCAACAGGATTCTGGCCATTAAATCCTATTAATTTTCATGGGATTCATCTGGCTGTAACTTAATCTGGATCCAACTCATTGGGTTTAGCAATTCTTAGAGCAAGAAATGGAATTAGAGTTTTTCTCCCAGTGCTGATGTAGCTTTCAACTGAGGTACAAGAGATGACCTTTAGACAAAACAAAGCAAAGCAAAAAATAAAACAGTGCCTTTCCGCCTTAACCTTTTTTTTGTTTGTCTTCAGAACATCTGTTGCTGATCTATGCAGGGACGACATGCTTGAGGCAAATTCCTCTTCAATTGGAGTACTCTCTCACCCTCATTCTGACGGAGAATGGTCACCCACACAAAGGTATTGTATGTGTTACTAAAATATCTCAAGGTAGTTCCCTCTCTGCAAACTGAATGCCCTCTACACACATGTTTAGACAAAATACATTTCTAGTTTTCTTCAGATGATTAAATATCTCAGGGCCCAATTGCACATAAAAACGCCTGCAATTTTTAAGAGAATCAATTGCTTCCTAGTTCCAGTCCCATGTGCATAGCTCAGCTGTGGGTTACATGAGAATGCGGGTAAGAAAGTCTCATTTGTGTCACCTCGAGAGGAGACTGAAGAACAGGACTTTAGGGTAAAATCACTTCAGGAAAAGTCCCTCTAAACCCTTCTTTTTAGGACTTGGGAGACTTAGGGTGATACGTAAATGTCACTCAGATTTTTTGGACTACAAGTCCCATAATTCTCCAAGCTAGGAGTACTACCTGGCAGACATCTTACGGCATTAGTGGTCCAAAAAAATCTGAATGGCTCTTTCTTCACTGGGCCATGAAGTTCACTGGGCTAATCATTCTCTTGTAGTCTTAACTTCCCTTGTAGGATTGTTCTGAGTACCTAAATGAGAAGACGAGCCATCTATATAATCCTGAATCCATTGGACCAAAAAGTGGAGTACACATTTTAAATAAATTTAAAAATTAAAAGCACTCCTCTTTTAATAATGTTTTGAAGAGCAAAAATGAACATTTGTGGTGTTCTCTCCTATACTTACGTACGACGGGATGTTTGTATATGCCCTCCTCATCTAAAACCGAGAACACTTCCTGTTCATTAGTGTTCATTGCAGTTGTAGCTGAACATTGACTGCACATGAATTAGGAGAGGATATATTATTCCTGGGTAATCCTACACATTTGTTGGATCCCAGATGGAAGCAGGCCTGCATACCACTTCCTTTAAAAAATAAATTTAGTGAGGCAGCTACATTGAATGCAAATAAATATATATAGTCAGTAGCGGAACATGAGAATCTGCCTTATATAGAGTTAGGCCACCGTACCATCCAGAGTGAAACAGAATTCTTCCCTAGTACTACATGGTATTCCTGTGGTGTTACCTGGTGGTGTCCCTCCAAATACCAGCCACACCTGACCCTGATTAGTGTCCAAAGTCAGACAGGATTGGTGTATTCAGGTGGTATGATGAAGGAGCAGCAAAATGTATATGACTGGGGATCTCTTTCATAATACCACTTGATGCCCTATTTACCTGTGAGTCTTCCAGCTGAGATCCTATTGTATGTGGAGATTATGAAATAATTTTGTGGTGCTTGCCACAAAAAGACCAAATATCTTTTCTACCAGGTTTGTAAGTATTTTCCTTATAACCAGGAATACATAGTTTTATTACTTCCTTTAGACCATCATAGTGGGCTGGATAGCTCTGGGGTTTAGATATTTATCTGCTAAGCCAGAGGTTGGGAGTTGGATTCCCCACTGGGCCTCCTGGGAGTAGAACCAGCCTGGGTGGCCTTGGGGGCAAGCTGCACAGTCCCAGGGCATCCCCAAAAGAAGGGACTGGTAGACCACTTCTGAGTATTCTCCACCTAGAAAACCCTGAAAATAGTTTCCATAAAGTCACATGATGGTTATTATTAACCATCATACTTTTTGCACTCTTGTTTGCTGAAGAGATGCTAAATAGTAGTGGAATTTATCTGTGTGATCTCTATGTGTATTTATGTGTCTGATATACTGTATCTGCATATTACCTAGACAGATATTTTTAGATATGTTAGTTTACACTCATATTTTTCCTCAAAAATAGATGGGATGCATCTAAAAATGTCTGTAGTGCCTGCAAATGCTTGTGAAAGCTTTTGTTTGTTGACCTTCTGAACTTGTATCTTCCGGTGCGTTTGCTTGTCTCAGTTCTGTATTTTGTCATTTAGAAACCGAAGAGTGTTTAAAACAACTTCTCTTTTCTCATGGGGGTTAGTGGGAAGTATGTCCTGGATGGTATTATGGAATAATGATGCCATTTCCCCCCCTCCCTTTCTTTTACTGTATTTTGCAATGTCCAGTAAACCTAGAACTTGTGCAGGGAAGTCCTCTTATCTTACTGTTCCAGCAGATGGAGGCTTATCTAGTTCTTGTCCCTACAAGTCTTCTCACTATCGTGCTACAGACAGGTAGAAATGCTACTCTTCCAGTTTATTTGGAATGAAAATTAATCCTTTAATCCATTTATCAATATCCGGACTTTGTGGGACTTATCAAACTACTGCTTACGACTAACCTGAGTGCTTGACAGGAAATGGGGATAGTGCCATGGGCTGGGAATTGGTTTCTTTCTCTTTTTTTGGTCACAGCCTTTATTATAAAGTCTAGCCTTCCAGCACAAGGTTTGGCTGCTTGATGCTTACCAGCAGTCTTTATTTCTTTGGCCCTGCTTCTGTCCGCTTCCCCTCCCGCTTTCTCCCCCGTTTCCCTTTTTCAGACTCTTTCAGTCTTTCCATATCCATTTCTTTTCTGCAGGTTTGGCCCTTTCCATCTTTAGTCTCCAGAGATTTCCTCTCAAACTGCCTCAGCCTTCCTTTCTCTGCGAGTGTATCACACTTCAGTCTAGGCAACACTAGTTTCCCTGTCCGCGTCCTCTGTGTTAAGAGGGTCACCCAGTCAGTAGCAGCTGATGCAGGAAGGTAAACCAGGGTTAAGAGTTTATAGGTTGCCAGTGATACTTTGGAAACGTAGAAGCTTCTGATGCCTACATGGAGCTCACTTGCTTTCAAGGGATTCCACAAACCTTCGGGGGGAAAAAAGAGACTTTTAAGGGTCCAGAGCACAGAACTGTCAGTTTTTTTCTCTCTCTCTCTCTGTCAGTCTCTGTAGCTTGTGATCAGAGTAAGAGTGCAAGAATTGTTTTTTATTTATTAACATTTTCATTCCACCCAGCTAGGAGCAAATGGGTGGCAGAGACAAGAAAACATAACAATAATATAAAAGCAATAAAAACATCAAAAGAAAAGATTTTAGCTCACACAAAAACTTTAAATGATTTAAAAGGCATTTTTAAAATAGATTTCCTGCCATTTAAAAAAAACACACTTTATCAAAGCAATGTGCATCCTGTTGAAAGGTATAAAATATAATTATAAGTAATTCAGCAACATTGATATTATTATAATGTAAGAAGTATAAATATAAATAATGCCCATATATGATAGAATTCTGGTGAATAAATATATATTTTGCAGAAAGCAGAAGGTGGATTGTCTAACTGTGGGAAAATACTGCTTTTCATTTAAAGTTAGCTTAAAAGGGATTCACGGTTGTGCAGGAGAGGATTGAAGCCAAGCCCCAAAGGCTTCTAGGCTTTTAAAAAATGTACATGACTTGTAACAAAGCAAGAATCGCCTTCATGGAAAGCTGCAGTGAAGACAGTCCCTTTTAGATCGAGTAGAGAGATGCTCCTGCCTCCTTTTTGCTTAGTGCTTTCATCCACTAACTAAAGCAATATCAACAGCTTCCCCTTTTCCTTCTCTGGGGTGCTTTCATCCACTAACTAAAGCAATATCAGCAGCTTCCCCTTTCCCTTCTCTGGGGTTCCCTAAGCAAACAAGACAGTCAGCAAGATGTATGACTGATGGGAGAAAATGCTTCCTTATATGTTAGGGATAGGCAAGGAGGAGTTCTCGGCCAAGTACGATTGCTTACCTTTCTTCTCAAATGACTCACGTGAAAACAAAAGAGAAACAGATCCACCCAACCCCCTCAGTTGTCTTTCCGATAGCATGCAAAAAATGTTTTTATTCAGACAGGTCTTTGTTATTAAATCTGGCTTGATGTTGAACGGGTTTTCTCCTCGTTGAGTGCTGTCATTCCACTGAAGTGTTTTGGCTGCCTATTTAAATTACATCTATTTGTATTTAATTTTATTCCCGTGAGCTACCGTGAGCTGCCATTTTTGGTAGAAAGAGAGTGTAAATAAATAACATGGGCTTGCTGTGGCAGTTGACTGTGCAGAGAGGATGTGGGGAGCTTGGCCTTCTCCAGTCTCTTGCAGGGTCTTCAGAGTCTGCCTGCCAAACACCTCGTTGCTGACCCCTCTGCCTTTCCAGTAGTGGGAGATTTGTTAGGCAGGCAGGAGATATCGGTCTTAAGGAAGTTCCATCTTGAATCTTGGGTTTCTTTTTGTTTTCTTTCTTTTTTTTTTAACGTGATGGATCCTGCACATGTATAGGTTCATAATTTCCTGGCAGCTTGTGTGTGTGTTTTGTTTTTTGTTTTTTGTTTGTGACTTCAGAAGCACAACAATTGCATTTCCTGGTTTTGATCTTGCAATGCTGTTGGACATAGACTTTGATCCTCTCAAATTGGCAGGAAAATCTAGTAAGAATGCCATTTTGAAGACATCTTTAGTTTGCACAGGCACTGTAAATGGTGAGATTGCCCCCCAATGCATATGTACACGCGTGCACACAAACACACCTATTTATTCATACATTTCTAATTCCCTTGAGTAACATCTTTATAACCTTTTAATGGTAAAGAAATAAAAGAAGAAGCCAGTTCCTAAGTAGGACTAGAATATAAATGTATAATTTAGAAATAAATATAATTATATATACAAAAATATAGGTGTGCATGCCAGTGGTTAGAATATATTTACATATTTATCAGTTTGTTTGGACTTTTTCAAGTGGAGTCAGAATTGACTTGATGGCATGCAATTATTGTTTTTACTATCAAGGGAGTAATCAAAATCTTCTGTGTTCTGTTATCTGTTGTTCAAGTCTTTAAGCTTGTTCATTTCTGCTGTCTTTTATGTTGTAGCTCATTGTTCTTTGAGGCATAGTGTTAAAGCCCCATTTCTGAGCCACAAAAATTCTAGCAGTGATTGGGTAATTCCTCACTGACTTTATATATATATATAAAGTCCTCACTTATATATAAATGTATTCTAGATAATATATATATTTAAAGCCAGTGAATAATTACCCAATCACTGGCAGTGATTGGGTAATTCCTCACTGACTTTCCAGCATTGCGGTCTTTTCCGGAAGATCCTGCCTTCCCATGATGTGCCCAAAATAGGGCAGCCTCCGTTCCAGCACTTTTGCCTCTGGAAAGAGTTCAGATTTGATTTGTGCTAGGATTCACTTGGTCATCTTTCTAGCAGTCCAGGGTACCTGCAAAGCTCTCCCTCAATGCCGTATTTCAAAACTTTTTTTTTTGTCAGTTTGATTTCCTGTCCATCTTTCACATGCATACATTGTGATTGTTAATACAAGTGTGGATGTCTTGGTCTCCAGGGACACATTCTTACAGTTGATTATCTTTTCTGATTCCTTCATTGCTGCCTTTTCTAGTCTTAGTCTTCTTCCAGTTTCTTGGCTGCAGTCTCTATTTGGATTGATGGTTGAGCAAAATCTCTAACTATTTCAGTTTCTTCATTGTCAGCATTAAAGTTGTGTAGTTGTTCTGTAGTCATGATTTTTTTTGTCTTTTTAATGTTCAACTCCGTTCCTGCTTTGGAAGTTTCTTCTTTCACTTTCACTGAAAGTTGTTTCAAGTACAGTAATTGAATCTGACAGTACGATCTGATTAATCATTATGGATGTTGTTGATGTCCTTCAGAGCTTAATGCTCTGGCCACTCTACACCATAAATGTTTAACATGAAATAGTTAGTGATCTGCATTTCTAACTTATATATTCACTGTCTGCATATAATTTCATTTACTTTCAGAAGTCAGGAAAAGGGATTGCTGTTCAGCCTTCTGCAATTATTTTCATAGTGCTAAAGCTCTGACTCCCACAGTGGTTAATCTCTCTATCCTTTTCATCCATGTTTGCATTTTGGATGGCTGCCTCTTAACATACCCTGCATCCCACTATGTGTGTGAAATGTAATTGGCCCAACTGAAGTACGGATTGGCACTAACATGGATAATATATTGGCACAAGGATGCATACATTGTTTTCCTTCCTTTATTGTGTCTTTTTCCTTCTTATTTACTTGTTTTTAATTTGTCTTTTTCCTTCTTATTTACTTGTTTTTGATTTATTTATTTTTTGCAGTCCTTCAGGATCACGGCCAGCCACTCCGAAAAGTGATTCAGAACTAGTCAGCAAGCCCACAGAAAGGAGTATCCAGAAGAATAATCCACAGATGCATTGGGATTGGGGAGAGCTACCTCAAGCTGCAAAGGTATTGTAAGAGGGGGGAAAAAAACCCAGCATGGTTTGAAATGAAAATATTACCAGATGTTCTTCTGTTTTGAGGGCTGCCTGACGGCCAAAAAGCCCAAAAATGTCATGTCAGAGCCCTTGGGAGGGAAGATTCTGATTTAACATTAAAGGATGACTTGATCCAGGATTGGGAAACCTGTAATTCTCCAGATGTTGATGAACAGCTGTTCCCATAATCCCTCACTTTCGACCAGGCTGGGTAGAGCTAATAGGAATCTGAGTTCAAGAACATCTGGAATGCTCTTGGTTCCCCAGATCCGATTTAAAGGTGTGTTCACAAGTTTTAGGTCAGTTGACTTCTTCTGTCTCCTCTGGAGTTGCTACAGAGAGATCAGAAGCATCTGTTTCCAGCTCGTCAATTCATCTAAACTGTAAAAAAAAAAAAAAGGTAGTTTATGCAAACAAGCCAACTTCAAGCATAGTTTCTAATCTTTGGCTCTTCAGATAAAGCCTAGTTGATCCACAGTTCTTGATTTGAGCAAAATGACAGAGCACAGTCAGTTTAAAATGGAAGGAGGTGCTTCCAGTCTTCTCCTTGCATCTGTGCTGGAGGAGAGGAGAGAGAAAATAAGCAGATTAGGGTGAAATACTGACTGACATCACAGCCATATTAAAGCTTAGTGATTATTGGACCTGAGATGTTCTTCTCTTTGCATTTGGATGTCAGATTTCAGCCTACATTTGTTTGGCATATGTCTTAGGGTGTTTTTTTTTAAATGTACATAAAAATGCAAATGCCATCCGATCTTTTTTCCATCAAGAAAATCAAGGCAAAAGACATGAGTGTTCTGAAATTGTCTTCCATCCTGGTACTGTCTAGAGCAAGATCAGCTTAGCTTAGTTGCATCTTGTGCCCCCAGACAGTAACCTGGAAATGTGGGTGCTCGGTGTTTAAAGACCGATCTGTCCTACTGCTGCCCTCATCAGAGAGCACAGACTGGCTACCATTCCCCTTTGCTTAGGGTCAAGCCTGGGTTAGTTGCTGTGTGTTATGTGAAGCTATTCGAATTCGTCTGTCATGTGCAGTGCACCAGGGAAGGAGTCTTCATCATTACCCTTTTCCTCCTCTCATACTTTTTGGAAGTTCCTCTGAGCAGGTATGTTTGTCTTTCCTTTCCTTTGTAGACTGCTGTTCCCCTGAAGCCAAAAGAATCCAGCAGCAACACAGTGAATGTGAATCTTTCTGAAAGCACTCACTTCCGAGTCATTCAGGGGAATGATTCAGAAGAGATTCCAGGCACGTCGGCCTTACCTGTCCTGGGACAGGATCACACGGTGATAACTCTGGAAGACATGGAGCCCGAGAGAGTCGTACCTGAGATCAACGAGCCAGAGGTAGACACTTTAGGGGCAGCGGCACCTCCACACCCTGCCATGGAAGATGTAAAACAGGCTTTGGCTTGCCTGGCACAGCCAGTGAGCAAAACAGATTCTCCCTCCAAGAAAAAAGGTATTCACAGTTGGTTTGTTCTGCCTGTTGCAGACATGGTTGTATGCAAAGTGTATGTAATTTGTATTTTGGGGGCGGGGGGGAGGAAACAGTCACCTTTATGGAACATCGGGTAATTTGGTAGTGGCTGGGGAGAAAGCATTCGGCTTCGTTATGTCCATGGTGGTGAACCTTGGCCTTTTGGTGAAAGGGGAAGGATCTGGGTCAGTGGGTGGGTGGGAATCCCTTAATTAGACTCTTGCCGGTCTTTGACCGTAATAAAAGTTATTCTGTCCTATCCCTTAATTAGAGCAAAGCAAAGTGTACTGCTTATATACTTTCCCATAGGGCTTCAAGCCCTCTCTGGGCGGTTTACAAGTTAGTTATGCAGGCTACCCGTTGCCCCCCCCCCCCCAGCAAGCTGGGTACTCATTTTACCGACCTCGGAAGGATAGAAGGTTGAGTCAGCCTTGAGCCGGCTACCTGGGATTTGAACCCCAGGTCGTGAGCACAGTTTTAGCTGCAGGACAGCGGTTTAACCACTGCGCCACGAGGCTCCTTATCGGGGAATGTTCAATCTGCAGTCCAAATGACCTTCTCCTTGGACCTCTCCCATCACTGCCCCCATCCTAGATTATTTATGGGATTTACTTTTGGGATGGGAACTAGTTTGGGGTGGCAGGTGTGATTTCCCCACCCTTGCAGGCCAGACGGTGGTGGAACGATGGTCAAACTTCCTGATGTCCCTGCCTCCATGGCTGAAGTGCTGGCTGGGGCTTCTTGATGTGTTTCTTTCCCCAGGGATCTAGTTTTACTGCACCCTTGCCTGCTCCCGCACAGGAGAGAAAGGAGAGGTTATGCCGGGTGTAGTCAGCCTGGGTTTCAGGGGCCAGCTGACTGGGAATCAGACAGTTCCCGAAGTGCAAGCGAACGGCACTTTGCTTTCTCTTGTACTTTCTGCACTGGAACAGCACCAGCTCCTTTCTTGCATGGGGAACACAAAGTGCAGCAAAGGTGGCTGTGCTCAGGCAAAATGTAAAGGCTGCTCGTGCTCAAGTTGCTTCTCTCCCCCAACCTTACCTTCCATAAACTACGTTTGCAGTTTGTCCTTTCCCCAAAACTTGGAAGAGTTCCACATTCTAGTGTATCTCCTGTGTGTCTCTTAGTCTGCAGGCAGGCAGGTAGGCGTCCCCTACAGCAGGGATCCCCAACCCCTGTTCTGCAGCCTGTTCCCAGTTTGTGGCCTAGGCCGCGGAGACAGATCTCCCACACACCCTCACTCGCACTCCTCCCTGCACAGCCCCTTTGCACATGCATTTGGGCGCACCTGTACGAGTGTGCCCCGCCCCTTTGTGCCTGCGCATAAGCGCAGGGGCTGCCCTGCCTTCCCCGCACACTGACCCTGTCCTCCACCAACCGGTCCACAGTGTCAAAAAGGTTGGGGACCACTGCCCTAAAGGGTTGCTTCATTTAGCTGTCAGAGTGGAAGTTGTCTTACTGCCTTGCACATGGTGTAGCAGGAAGCAAGCAGCTTCCTCTTTATAAGATAGTTTTATATTTTTTGCTTACTGTGCGCTGACCTATTTATATGGGATACTCTCACATCTTATGGACTCTTGCCCAATCCGTTTGAGCTTTAAGGGAAGCCCTTCTGGTGGTGCCGTATATTCTTTTGATCAGTCTGTCAGCCATTCAAAAAACAACATTTAGAGATGTGCGTGCCCCTGTCCTTTGGAACACTTTGTCTCTGGAGCGGAAGCATGTACTAAGCATTGTGGGTTCCTAAGGCATGCTAAAACTCTTCCTTTGCAATTCCAATTTTCCAGATCCCTCTTATTGATGAAGTATACTTTGGTACACTGTTTTGTTTCCCCCTTTCCCTCTCCGTTGTGTATAAAGGTATAAATATATGATGATTTTTTTAAAAAATGATTCTTATATGTATTTTTGTTAAGTATTTTTGTGTTCAGCAGCATGTACATTTCAGAGACAGCCTTGCAATAATTATTCAACCTCCTGATCCAGAAATTCTGATTGTGAACTTTGCTCTGTTGATGCTATCATGTGCTGCTGATTTTGTGCCGCATTGCATTGTATGGTTTCATGTTTCTGCTTCTCCATTTAATTTTTTAAAAAGTTTTGTTGCAAGCTGCTCAGACAACCTTTTATATGCCCTACTGGGCAGCATATAAATATTGTAAATACATAAATTCCTTGACCAGGTTAAGCTGCATTTTGATCATGACCTTCACGGGAGGTAAAAATCAAGAATTAGACGTTTCTCAGTCAGTAGACTGTGTGTTCAAAAGAAAGAAAGAAAAGAAACCAAGAATTAGAATCAGTACCAAAGGGGAAAAAATGACTGAGTGTCTGGATAGATCACTTTATATGAATATTGCTTCTGCATTCCACAGATAAGCGAAGCCGACATCTTGGTGCTGATGGTGTGTATTTAGACGACCTCACAGACATGGAGCCGGAGGTTGCTGCACTCTATTTCCCTAAAAAGTAAGTGCAGTCAGTATTAATTAGCATCTATAATGCACCACTCTGGTCACACAAACTGCCATAATGCATGCGCTTTGTCCTTTAAAATGAAAGCTGAGAGTTTTTTCAAGATGTCACGTCCAGCTAAAAAATTCTGTGATTTGTGGTCCATTCATGCAATTACGTAATCTAACAGAGGTAGCCTAAAATTGTTTTGCAAGTAGTAAATAATTCCATTTTATATTCTTATTAAATGCTTCTGTTTTATAATCTTGAGCCTTTTTAAGGGCAGTGCCAAATTGACAAAGGAAAGATACGTGGCAGCAAAGACCTCCTTGGTCATAAAGGACCACATGAGAAATGTTGACCTAAGACTATTAATGCTTTCAGTTTTTCCTCTGTAGCACTTGAGGACTAGAAATACAACTTGAAAGGAACAATAGTGCCAGGACTGAGATAAGAATAGATAGGCAATCTGAAAGAGACTCAAGGGTTCAATAGACTGCATGTTACCCAGTATGGATAAATGGGAAGAGCCAGCCTGGGTGGGCCTTGGGGGCAAGCAGCACAGCTTCCAGGACGCCCCCAGAAGAAGGGAATGGTGAACCACTTCTGAATCCTCTCTACCTGGAAAACCCAGAAAAGTGTTGCCATAAGTCAGAATTCGACTTGATGGCGCATGATTCCTCTTTTTCTTCAGGGTGAACCTAGAAACAAGTATAAGAAAAACAAATCATGGACAGATAACAAGAACATACATACACTTAAGTGTCTCTGTTTGGGAGCTTTAAATATGGAAAGCTATAGGGGAGCCTTCCTTAAACTGGTGTCCTTGTATCATGGACTTCAACTCCCATTAACCCAAGCGCTTTATCAAGGATACTGGGAGTTTTACTCCAGACACCTGGAAGGCACCAAGTCAGTGAAAGCTGTGGTAGAGAAACACACCTGCTGGTACATTCCCTCAGCACTAAGTGCCTGGGCGTATGACATAGTGGTATGTTCTAGGTGTACATGATGAGGGAAATTTAAGAGCAGGGTTAGGGTTAGGAATATAGCACAAGCAATTAATCATTTTTCCTCCTCCCCAGTGGTGATCACACTACCCACTTGAAGAACGCATGTGAACATGGGCACCGCTCAGCTAATCAGTCCCCTCAGTCAGTCGGAAGCTCAGGCGTCGATAGCGGCGTAGAGAGCACCTCGGATGGAATAAGGGACTTGCCCTCCATTGCCATTTCGCTCTGCGGGGGATTGAGTGACAGCAAAGAGATATCGAAAGGTATGCCCTCCACCAGAACGCCAGTGGGAAAAATGACACAATGACCCCTGGTGGTCATTGTGTGTGAAGATAGGTGGGAACATTATGTCGCAGTAAAAAAAATAAATAAAAAGGAAAGCTCATGTTGTAATAAATTTGTTCGCTTTTAAGGTGCCAGGCCTTTTTGTTGTTCATGTCCCTAAGTATGTTCGTCTTGGTCATAATTATATTTAAATGACCAATTAAGAAGAGTGCATTCTTCCCCCAAACATTGAATACGACTAGCAACATGAGGTGCTGGCTTTTCCAAGCTGTGATTCAACGGAGGCTCCCAACAATTCAGATGGAAGTTTTCTCGGCTGTCTGCCACTCTTTCACCTCTGAACACCAGATTTTGCTTTTAATGGTTTTGAATGCTATTTTAAGTTCACTGTGAATGTTTGTTTGTCCATGGCTTTGGTATTATTTTTAAATAGGGAAGTTCATTTAAAATTTTTCTACGATTTAAGGAAAGGGGAGGGATGTCACAGTCACTGACCAGTAGTCAGCTTCTGCTGCAAGATGAAAGAATTTCCCCTGAATTTGATTCTGGGCACGGAGTGGTTTATCAGTGAACCAGGCAGTGATTATTGTACTTCCATAACAGCCAGGCTGCTCAGAAAAGATAAATAAATAAATATTAGTAGACATACTTGCTTTTTAAATTTTGCATCCGTCCCTATCCCTCTACACAAATGAGTTTGTCCCTATGCATTCACATATGTGTAGTACCTGGCAGTGTTACTTCTCTGGAGCTCTCATTCTAGAATCCTCAGGCGACATAATACATCAGAAATTCGACATGTGTTTAGTGACATGCCACTTCCGTAAACCTTTTGTGCTATAACCACCAGATAGTTTCACTTGAGGTATACCGTATTTTGCAAATGTTAGCAGTGGTGCATGCCTTGGCTGGAGGATTCTGTGAGTCTTAGACCCAAAAAAGTAACATTACTGAATGCTGCCTCTGCTTCACTTGAGGTATACCGTATTTTGCAAATTTTAGCAGTGGTGCATGCATTGGCTGGAGGATTTTGTGAGTCTTAGACCCAAAAAGTAACATTACTGAATGCTGCCTCAGTGTGAGCACAGGAAGCTCAGCATTCTGTCTGCCCTGTACGTGTGGGACAACTGCTCAAAGCTGGGGTGGCTGCATAGGTGGACCCTCCAATGGAATGACGGTGAGAAAAGCTGGAGTGAGCATAGCCCGCACGGGGGGCCTGCCTCCCTTCAGTTCCACCCATACCTCACTGCTAGCCACCTATTCCTTGCCTTCCCTAAGGCAGCTTTGGGGGTCCAGGTGTTACTTTGTGCATCCTGAGATCAAATGGAGAGCCTGAATTGATCGTGTCAGTGCCCAGCACCTTAGGCTGTTGGTTCTGCAACATGTAGGGCAGACTTTCAGTTTTGGTTAACTTCATTTTTGTTTTAGTATACTGTACTTTAACGATTGTGAGCGTCTCTACATTCTCTGCAAAAATGCTGATGAGAACCTGGTGAAGTTAAAACTGAACCCCAGTACTGTAGTTTGAAGGAGATCCCTGTCTAGCAGCTGATATATTTGTCTTGAGAAAATAAGACTACTCTGCTACTCACAAAAAATGAATGAATCAATCAAATCACAGCTATCATGCATCTCATATGCAACAGAATTCCAGAAGATGTCTTTCTTCTTGCTTAAGGAGAACTTGAGAGATGTGCTTGGCTTTGGGGAGGAGGGGCTGGAGTTTCTGTTTGCTGATGTGTAACAACGTCTTCTTGCTTAAGGAGAACTTGAGAGATGGGCTTGGCTTTGGGGAGGAGGTGCTGGAGTTTCTGTTTGCCTGCTTTTGTTGATGCGTAACAACATATTTGCTCTACTCTTCCTTAATACCCTGGTTGGTCTTTGGTAGGGGTGAAAGGAGGATGCTGAATCAGCTGTATAATTCAGCATTCTCTTGGCCCTTTCTTCTGGTTCATGCACATTTTCATTTTGTTTGTCGTCCAAACAGAGAGGTTTTTAGAACAAGAGGTCACATATCAGCAATTTGTGGACAATCCAGCTATCATTGATGACCCTAACCTTGTGGTGAAGATTGGAAGCAAGTAAGTCAAGGCAAAGCAATGTGTGCATTTTGCTAAAAGATAAAAATGGTGTCATTTTGGCTGCAGAGGCACCACAGAGCTTCTCCGCACACCTGAGTTGGTATGCTGTTAATTGTGATCCCAATATTGCATCAAGAGATCTGACATGAGTTTAGCAAAATACTGTTGCAGTAACCCACTTGCGCTATAAGGACTAGACAGTGTGGCTGGAGGTGGCCAATAGTTTGCAGATTCTAACAATGGCACATACGCTCTTCTGACTTCCCAGGTACTACAACTGGACAACGGCAGCCCCCCTCCTGCTAGCGATGCAAGCCTTCCAAAAACCCTTGCCAAAGGTGAGATTGACCACACGAGCCTTTTTTGGCAGAAAAGTGTTGGGCCCATTGATCTAACGATGAAAACAGGAACACTCAGAGAAAGCAGCCCCATGTACTTGATATTGCTGGATGCCACCCGCGGATCTTCCTGTTATTTTTCCCCCACCCCCACCCCAGCTTTTGCAATTTGAATCTTTTACTAGCGTCTGCTCCAGCCAGACATGTGAAAATAGCTCTCTTTCAGTTTTCTTGTATTTGTGCAGATTTTCTGCATAGAAATTCATGTACTCTTTTTACACATTTCCCCTTGCATGCACACTTCTCTAATGGATTTTACTTAATGTATGTATTTCCACCCATTTTACTCGCCATTGACTTAGAAAAAAGTACATTTGTTTTGATTGTTATGCACTTTAGCCATTTTTATTTTACAAAGCATGCATTATTTTGTGCGCATTTTATTCTTTCAAAATGCCCCCGGGCCTTGGAGGTGGTGAGAATTATTAAGATGAGGTGCATGTTTTTCACAACAAACCTGTGTGTGTGTGTGTGTGTGTGTGTGTGTGTGTGTAAAAAAGACATTTTCCATCGTGGCTAAAACACATTTTGGGACAATATGGTGGCTCTGTTTCTTCCTCTCCCCCTCTCGCACCTCGCCTTCTTTCTGTTTTCAAGTTTGGGATGAACATGAGTTACCATCTGTTGGTTTTAATTTTTGGATGCTCTCCAGGAGAAACTTTTAAAACGATTCCCCAGTGAATAGGAGTAGGTGTTTCCGGTGTGCATGTGGCTCCCTCCAGTTTGGGTGAATCTCATGGATTTGACTTATTCTGTAGCAGACCTTTAGGACTGAACAGTTCAGCATGAGCGCTAAGCACCCTTTTCTCAAGACAGGCAACCCTGATCCATTTGCCTTTGTGTCTTGAATTAGTGTCATCGGTAGGCTGCAGTTCACAGATGATAGGCTTGTACTGCAAGCCCTCCTCACACCTCCTATTAGATAAAAGAAAAACTCAGCTTTAATATCTCAAAGGCAAAATGACTATTAAAGAGTAACTCCACCTTGAAAATGCAGTCAAGACGCTGTACGGGGTACATTTATATCTAGTAGCAGATCTTCTTAACTGTTGATTATTAGCTCAGAATCATTGCCGTTTGATAACAGCACATGGCTAGGTTAAAATAGCTCTGGAGCTGGTTAGCATTTGATTGAGTTGATGGACGCGGTGACATTTATTTCCCCCACTGCTCAATTATATTTACACATTGTAGAATAGATACAGGTATCTCCGTAAGTACATCATCCCTGCTAGTCGAGGGCACGATATGCTATAGAGATTCGTCTCCTAAGAAAAGAGCTGACAAGAGATAGAGATTGTTGACAGGTCACCATTGAGAAGGAACAGTATATTAGCTTCTGGTTGTCACCACTGCTGAATTAGGATTTACTGGCTCTTTTGGATTGGTATAATAAATCCATTGACGCTATTGAGGTAGGTCCCTCCAAGATTTCCCCGTTTTCTTTGAAGGGACCTCAGCACACTGCTCCTATCTGTTTTAATCGTACTGTTGGGCTAACCCCCTCCTTAGGCTTATGGGATAACTGCTCTCTCACATTCTGTTGGGATTAATCTCAGTCCAGAGCCCTGTGTCATATTCCTTCTTTCCTGCAGCTGCGCCAGTACTTGTACATTCAATCATGTAGGTTCCTTAATGTGTCCACACTGCTACTAGAAATGTACCCTGGGAAACCTGTGATCCCTCCAGTTGTTAGATTCCAGTAGCCACCACACTCTGTTGGTGGACATCTGGGGGTGATAGGTTGTCACGTCCGGTGACCCCTGGAGGCCTGAAAATTCTCCACCCATGCTGCAAACTTTAGTTGGCACATGAAATGTGAACAGGCAGGTTTTTCAGAAGCTTTGGTGTTCAAAGCGTGGAAGGAGACATAGAAAGTACTGCTTGTGGCTTGATCTATAATAACCTGGTAATATATGCAGGTCGTCCATGTCTTCCAAGTAATGGAAATCCCTGCGTGACTCAGAAGCAACTAAGCTAGTTAAACTGAATAGTTTAAGATATTCCTCCTTTAAGAATTTGCCCGAGTCAGATTGAACAAGTAGGACTTCTTTTTATTTTATGAGTTTCAGTATGGAGAACATACTGGACTGAATGAATTTTCTGCTTGCTTTTGTCAGGGTAAAAAGGTATCTGTTTTTATGAATGTCTGGTGTCATGTGTTTGACAGAAACAAGCCCCTTTGTCTTCATCAACAAGTGCCTAGTGGCTATTTGGGTGCCATGTTAAATTAAATGTTTTGTTGACTTACCCTGATGTTTCCGTATCATCTCACTGAGTAACATACTGTATAAGAAATATCAAATCATTCTCCTAAATGTCACTCTTATTTAACATGTTGGCCACCTCTGTTCTTTACCAGCACAAAGCCTTTAATTTTACTAAACAGCTGTGTAGTAAATATTTATTTCTCCCCACTCTCCTAAACATTATACTAATGGGTTATTTTGCTTTTTTTGTTGTTGTTCCCATTTTATTTTCTGTTTTTCTTTTAAAATCTCCTAAGTGTTCTTGTTTAAGTTACTTCCATACAGTTCTGGATACCATTAGGTTTTGCTTTGACAAGATTTGTGGTCCACAGACAGTATGTTTCCTTTGGCTCTCTTTCCCTGAGTTAAAATTGTGTGTGGTTTGTTTATTGGTTTGTTTTTAAACTTCCGTTTGCATGGGTTAGGTTACTTTTTGTTCTGTTCCATTATTTATGTTACCATCCATTTGTCACAGGCTACTGTGGATTCTATAATGAGGGATAAGATGCCCAAAAAAGGCGGAAGATGGTGGTTTTCATGGCGGGGGAGGAATAGCTCTATCAAGGAGGTAAGTTTGGAAACTGGATGAACCAAATTGATCTTCTAGGTTAGAACACCCTGAATTTTGAGCTGTCTTTATTCCATTTTAAAGTTAACATTTCCCACTCTGTATCTGGGCAGTACCAATTCGGCAGAAGAAAATGTAGAATTCTGAAAAATGCATTTATTGAGATTGGCATTTTTGTGTATGATATAGCCTATATTTTTAGAAGATCCTAATTTATTCTACATGTGCCCATTATGTAAGAGGGTTGAGAAATTATTCAGAGGTCTGAAATTCAGCTAGGCACACCATGGGTTTATGACTTTTGATTGAGTGCTGCTAACAAATCTTTGAAGCAAATCTTTGCAGCCAATAAATTTAGATATTTCCCTTTTCTAAAATGAAGGTTGAACTTCAGCATCCGATGCTACCATTCATACATGCCTGCAGTCTGTCATAATCAGCTCTGCATATATACATTTTTTTTTCAATTAGTTTGCAAGTTCATTGTCTCATACACAAATATAAGAACTGCCTTTTTGATTAGGAGCTTGCTCTCCAGCTAGCGAAGCATTCTGTCTCCCAGACTGTCAAGCCAGTGGTTGCTGAAGAGCTTTTGGGCAACACGTGACAGTGACAATGTTCCAGATTGCGAACGAACACGGGTGTTGCAGATGGGCATTGTGTCTAAGAGTCCCTGATAGGTAACATTAAACTGCTGAACGTTGAGTCTGTCAGAGACTGTTAACCATAACAGTCGGTGCTCCACGTATGAGCAGTGGGACTCATATGACAAATGCCCTACCCAACATCATCTCAAACGAACAGACAGGGCCCATTGGATTGGAACCATGGGTGTCTTTTTGCCGACAGAATCTTTCCACTTTTTGATTCAACCCTTCACTCCCCTCCACTTAAAAAAGAAGTGCTTAAGTGCTCTGAACATCCCACAGAAATGTTCGCTTCCAGGGAATAGCGATGGAGAGGGGCATTATGGCCCCTAGAAGACTAAGAATAATTTGCCATAAGCTTTCACGGGATGTAGCCTGCCTGCACGGCATGTCATCTTAGTCGGATTCATGCAAGAATTTGTAAGTCTGCTCCTTCCATCCATGAGCTCATTTGAACCATCATTGTCCCAAATCATCAAAGGGTTGAGATTAGAGATGGGGGTATTCATGTTCGTATACAAGTATCCTCCCACAGGTGCAGATCACGAGGGTCCGGCCTCTTGAGGCCAGGCTGACCACTCACGATTCCGCTGCTGCTCTGAGCTCCATGCTCCCTATTGCTCCGTTGCTTACAATGGATTAGCCACTCCTGGCAGAAGGCGGGATGTCGGCAGGACCAGCTTTCTCCTCCTGTCGGCTCCGGTTGCCCCCTTGTTACAACGGTCACCATGCTTGGAGGGCACAGTCAGAGAAATGATGCTCTGTCTCCCATTCCGACAGCCTTTGCTATGAATATGTTTCAATGTCTGCCTTTTATTGCATGCAGACCTACTAATTCCTGGAGGGTTTAACTGCAGTGGTTGTTGTAATCTTTTTTTGGTCTACTTCTGATTGATGCTTCCTGAAATGGCTCAGCAGCATCAGGGTTTTGATCCCAGTTTTGCTCATGCTTTCAGAGGTCTTAGACCCCACCCCAACCCCAGGCTTGCCTTAGGAGGCATACCTTTGCCATGCCTCCCTTCCGTTCCAGGGTCCCTGCCCTGCTGCTCCCCTCAAATATGCTGCGGAGGGTTGGTGGATACCCTGGGTGAGTGGGGTGGATGTGATGCAGAAGGCTGTGGGGCGTGGGGGAGAAGGCACACAAGTAGAGGCCGGCTGGATTAAGAGGGCTCAGTTTTTCTCCTTTGTCCTGTTAGAAAACAGGGAGAAAGTCAGTTGCATTTTCTCCTTTTCTTTGCATAAGGATGGTGAATACAATGTTCAAAAAACAGCTGTGCCCTTTATCTTCTTATATTTCACCTGTAGGAAACAAAACCCATACAAGGTCTGAGTGGGAAAGAAGAGTCGGACATTGCAAACAGGTATTAGTGTTTTCCTCTCTTGTTTTTCAGTTTCTGGAATGCTTTGGAATTTTTACCACATTTGCCTTCTGAACAATCCTGTGGGACAGCTTTAGGCCAAGGAAATAATAGCTGGCATTCTTAATGTCATTCGAATTTGCCTGCCCGTGACATTGAAACACAGTGATCATGGTTGGTTGATAAGAAATGGGCACTGTATTTATGTGTATTTAACAATGGGGTGATAGCGTCTATGATATTCAGATATATTCCATTGAGACGTGTGCTGTAAAGGATGTAAAAACATCTGTCATGAATAATAATGGTTGAATGGAATGAATATACATATGCTAGACACCCGTCTCAATGGACTCAATATATGCAAAGGCTTTTTAGGGCATTACAAAATATGAACACTATAAAAATTGTACTGTGCGGCTTCCCCCAGGTATATATTCCTCCTCAACAGATGCACCTAAATGAATTTCAAAGGTGAAGCAGAGAGTCTTAACTCAATGCCATGTTGTTGTGGTGGTAATTGATTGCCTGGTGTAACTTACACATCATTTTGATGTGTGAATTACTCCAATCAATCAATCAATCAATCAATCAATCAATCAATCAATCAATCAATCAATCAATCAATCAATCAATCAATCAATCAATCAATCAATCAATCAATCAATCAATCAAATTCCTATTATTCTACCATTGTTATCATGACGGATAGCACAGGCTTCAGTGGAATATAGCTGTATCTCAAAGAGGATATCACCCCACTATTCCATACCCATTGATTTTCTTACCAACCAACCACAATCTCTGTATTTTGATGCCATGTATAAATATTTGCCATGTTATCTCTTTCTTTCTTATCATGTATAGGGAGGTGGAATTGTCCACCAAAGCTCATATTAAAATTTAATAGTCTTTAAGGTGCCGCCATGCTTTTTCTTTATTATTATTATTATTATTATTATTATTATTATTATTATTATTATTATTATTATTATTATTATTATTATTATTATTATTATTATTATTATTATTATTATTATTATTATTATTATTATTATTATTATTATTATTATTATTATTATTATTATTATTATTATTATTATTATTATTATTATTATTATTATTATTATTATTATTATTATTATTATAATAATAATAATAATAATATCCAGGTTTAGCATTCTCCCTACAATGAGAAATGTGGTTTAGGTAGCACACTTTTTCTTTTTTGCTTTAAAGGACCAGCTTTCATACTTTATGCTTGCTTTATGAACTTGGCCAGTGGATGTTATTCGAATTAGGCATTAAAACCAAGCAAAATTATCACAAATGATGATTAGTAAAATAACGTTTGTGTGGATTAATTGCATGCAATGAAGCCTCCATGTCAATCACAGTAGTTTTAATTTTATTTGTGCTTGATACAGGCAGAATGGAACCCTGACTTTTATGCAGTAGAGCCCCCTCAGTCAGAAGTATACTAAAAATTATCAAGCAGAAATACAATTAAAACATCAACTACTGAAACAATTAATAAGTTGTGGCAGTGTGAAAACGGCCAGGGCCAACTCTGTATGCTTTCTCTGAAGTCTTTGAAGAAAAGGCAACATATTTTTGAAATAAACAAAACGTGAAACAATGACCTGTTTAATGTTTGTGAATGCAGAACGTCAGCTTATGAAAGCTGATGTCAAAATCTAACAAGGCGATAAGCGTGTTCCTGATTGTTACAACCAGCACCTCATCAGATCACCACCCTGGCAGCTTCTGCAGCTGGAGCTCTGCTTTTCTGTATATATTGAACAGGATACTGGCTAATGACTAGGATGGAAAGCATATGCTCGAAAACTCACCTATATACAGAATCAGGATTTTAAAAATGAGCCGTTGCGTTGTGTGTGCAATGTTTCAGAATCAAAGACGAGTCTTCTTCAAGTGACGAAGACCCTAGAACGACAAACCAAGCCTTTGGATCTTTACCTGCAAACTCCAATCACCTTCCGCTGTTGTCTTCAGTCAGTTACAAAAAGAGTCTTCGACTCAGTTCTGAGCAGCTGGTGAGTTGTTATTTTTTTTAATGAGCCTCTGACATCCTCACAAGTTCCAGGTCATGGGAGTCAATAATGCCCCTTCCTACATCAAGTCACGAACCTTCTCTCCTCTCTGCCATGTAATAATGGGGTATGGAGACCCATAGGTCTACCCTGACTGGCAAAGAAGTAAAATAAAATAAAGAAGCAAAACCCCTACTGTTTTCTAAAACAATAACGTCTGTTCACATAACGGAACATCCTATGATTTTGGTTTTTTAAAAAAATGGTTTTCCTTTTATGGATGTTGGTGATTCAGTGCCTGTTGTTGTGCAAAGAACGCATGCCTTTCTCTGTCTGTATCCATGCGGGAAGGCTTTCCTTAAAGCTATGCAAGCTGGAACGGGAATGATAAATAAACACTCAAGGATTCTAAGTTATCATTGGCATCTTCCCGTAGAAGGAGAAGCTCAGTACTTGCATAGTCGTTCTGATAGACAAGACCAACAAACTGTTAACTGGGAGGCTGACATTAGTAATTGTCGTTAGAAAAAGCATGGCTGTGATTGCTGTGGGCTGACTTTTCAGGGGTACAAACTGACCAACAAACTGTTAACTGGGAGGCTGACGTTAGTAATTGTCAGAAAAAGCATGGCTGTGATTGCTGTGGCCTGACTTTTCAGGGGTACAAACCTGGGTCATTGAGTTGTTGATGGGTCCCCTTGGTGCTCTGTGAAGGTAGGGGAGCAAGCAGGGACTGTAGTGGCCATTTTTCCTGGGTACAGACTGGGCATCCTGGGTATAGCCGTACTGGTTGGTTTTCTTGGCGATTTGGTGGTGTAGGGATGGGGTCTTCACAGCGCCTAGCTTCCCCTTTAAAATGGGCAGACTCTGGCAGAAGCCCTCTTTACTGGCTTGTTTCACAAAAAACAAACCATATAACAAAGCGCAGGTTACACACCATTATATGTTATTTCTATGATGTGAAATAAATGTTTAGAAATGTATATAAATAGTATTTATTTTAGGAACTCAGTCAATACTTTGGCAGACATTTAAAAACAATAATAATATATCCTTGGTGGTGAAGCCTTTTTTGGTCGATTTGTGCATCCCAAGACTATTGATTATGTGACAGAATTCTTTATTATGTTCATTGATGGCTTCTACATCCAAATTAAGTAAAGTTCAGCTCTGCTTTCTTTGTTCATTTGTGGGAGAACAGACTGAAACATGCAGAACTAAAACAACTTACCATTTCCCCTTCAGGAATGTGATATAAGCACATGTGCCTGACTGAGTCTTCTGGCTTGTGGATATGCCTGGCTTGGAGTCTATATTTGACTTTGTGTTTCTTTTTTTTCCAATAGAAAAGTCTAAACTTAAAGAGTGGTCCCAATGATGTGATTTTTAGCGTTACGACCCAGTATCAAGGAACATGTCGCTGTGAAGGCACCATCTATTTATGGAACTGGGATGACAGAGTCATTATTTCTGACATTGATGGCACAATCACGAGGTGAGTTATTAACAAAACGTAAAATGACAGGTTTTGCTTCAGGAGCGCTTCCTGATAAAAGCAAGCCGATTAGCGCTGTGCGAAGTGGAAGAGGGGCCCTCATATTTCCCCTTGGCACTGAGATAATTTCAGAGTTTGGAAGAGTTGGGATAAAGAGGAAGCATGGACAAGTCTATGAAAATGCGCACTAAAAAATATAAAAGTTAGTCTTTAAGGTGCCACCACGTTTTTGTCTTTGTTTTTTTTTAACTTTTCATTTTCATTTTGTTTTTACCTATAATGCTTGCACAGATTAACATGACTTACCTCTTCTACAACTACAAACATGGTTTATGCAGGCTTGTCCAACCTTGGCCCTCCAGATGTTCTTGGACTTCAACTTCCAGAAGCCTTCAGCACCACCTCTGCTGGCCAGGATTTCTGGGAGTTGAAGTCCAAGAACATCTGGAGGGCCAAGCCTGGTTTATAGTAATAGTATTAAAAAAAAACAGACATATACATACCTCTTCTACAACTACAAACATGGTTTATAGTAATAGTATTTTTTTAAAAAAAGACATATACAGCTTTATTTGGTATCTCAATATAGTGAGTTATTTCTCTTTGGTTGTTTCTTTCTTTGTTTAATCAATCAATCAATCTCCTTTTTCCAGGTCAGATACTTTAGGTCATATTTTGCCCACTCTTGGTAAGGACTGGACACATCAAGGCATTGCCAAACTGTACCATAAAGTGAGCCAGTAAGTATTTTAGCTTATTTGCCTTGTGAATCCAGAGTTTTCTAAGAATAATTGTGTCTAGTGCATCTGCGAGAAAAGAATGGTTTTGTATGGAAAAACAAATTCTCCCGATCAGTCTAAGCAAACAAAAACTACTCCTGAATCCCTAACAAAGTTTGTCCTATTCCACGGAAGGGACTCTTTGGATATAGCAGAGCCGCTGACACCTTTCTGTCACTTCTGGCAGAAGAACTGGTGCCGGAGTTGGAAAACCCAAAAGACTGGCCTTCACGTTAGCTTCAAAATTGACAATATAGTGCCATTTCATTGTGTCCTCAAATCTGCAGCAAGGCTGCTTGCCTTGCATAATGAAAGAGCCAGCTCTGAATCCTTCCGTGCAGAGTTGTGCATGAGTACGTTTAATGGAAATCAGCTGGATGATGTTGCCCTACACATATATTAATGTGGTCCTGAATGTTTTGAGTTTTACGTTACAGGCAGGGAGCCCAAAACTGGAGGGGGTGAATGTAGCCTGTCTTCCCCACCTAAGTAATACTTTATTAAAAGCTCCTTTTGATGCCACGGAAAGGTCTTTAAAAGTCTTATTACTACATAGGATTACATTTTTTGGTGGGGGGGCACAGCTAGAGGGGGAAAGGCTCGTGATCCCCTTGTTATGCAGTGCAACTCTCCACCCCCCCTTATTTCATTTCATTTCATACAATAACCAGTCTTCCTTTTTAAAAGACTCTTTTGGTGCCAATAGGAGCTTTTGCAAAAGCTTCAGCATAGATTCAGTTTCCTAACCCAGAGTATAGCTGTTAAATCAATGTGTTGAACATAGGTATCGATTTACCATCTGGCAGATGATTTAATGGGTCTACTCTGGAAATCGGATTTAGGTCATATAATTTATATGCACTAGGAAATGGCAGGGGGTTGAAGCTGGAGAGGAGAAAGGATGTGTCCACGCCATTGAGCCCTGGCCCCCGTCACCCCCCTCAAAGCAGCAATAAGAGGAGTGGAAGAAAGCTCCCACTGATACCTCTAGGAGTGCTTCTTCATATCCGTAGGGAGTGGGGCGGAGGAGCAGCAACAGCTTGGAAATAGGGTGGGGATTATAAAAGGAGAGATGCAAGGAAGAGAGAAAGGGGGAATGTGCGTGTGTATATGTATCTTTTTGTGTGAGTGAAATGGGTCTGTAGATGGACTAAGGTACGTAAGAAAGTGGGTGGTGTTTTTGTTTGTTTGTTTGTCCCTTTCCGCCCCCGTTGGCTCCAGCCTGGCCCTCCACGGCAAGGCACCTTCTAGGAATTTTCACCAGAGGGGATGCAGCTCTGCAAGGTGGTGGGGAATTCGAATACAGGAATACGTCTTCTTTTGGTGCTTCACAAGGGTGGAGGGCGGGGTTTCATTTAACTAGGGCTTATTTTGGGGGTAGGGCTTTTTGAAGGTTTGGTATTCTTCCCTCCCCTTTGCTCAAATAAACCAGGAGTCTTTTTTAAGCCCAAATCCAAACTGGTGTTTATTTCCTTATGCAAAGTTAAAGCTTCTTTAAACGATTCATATCTTAACTTCTCTTGCGACGCCAACGGGGCTCGCAAGAGCAACCAGACTTCTGAGTCAAACGGGTTCAAAGATTTAACGTCCCAGGGTCCAGCGAGGAAAGGGTCATAATCTGGCACATCTGCTTCGGTCCCTTC